AGAGGTGGAAGCGATCCTTAGCGATGGCGCGCAAGTTCAGTCTTTGGTCGATGAAGTCATGGTGGATGGCAGCTTGTCGGAGGCGGTGATGGACGATGGCAAGGTGGAGGCTGCGATGAGTGATGGCGGCACTCCTGACGAAGTCATGGTCAGCACCAGCTCTTCCGCCTTCGCACGTCATCCTGCTCTCCTTGGGAGGCTCTGGGGGCAAGCGCAGATCAAAGGACTGCAAAACTTCAGGGGCGGGGGCTTCTACACGATCAAAGAAGTCGTCGACGACCACACTGCAGCCCGCTCCGGCAGCACTAAGCATTCAATTCTTCAGGTTTCAGGAAGAAGAGCCGTTGGAGCGGCTGAGTAGGGTTGAGGGCAGCTCGGAGTCGCTGAGGTCCTTTCGGACGTGTCTGTGAATTGCGGAACCGCTCGCCTCGAGAAAGCCGAGCTTACGAAGCGAGAGCACGATGTACACTACATGCTCCAAAAGCACCAGGGCTTCCCCTTCTTTGTCTGCATTGACTTTCAGAGAGGGAAAAGCCACCCGCAACTCGAGGAGATGATCGATGCTCATGTCTCCAAGCAGGCCGTCTCCGGTGAAAACCTTGAGGAGTGGGCATCAGTCCGGTTCCGGCACGCCAGTGTGCTGATTAAGCACGGTGGCGACGGATTAAACTGGCCCATCGAGATCGTCCATGTCCTTCCACGTGCGCGGGGCCTTCTCATCGGCACTGTCGGGAATCTCACGCAGGGAAAGGCCGGGAACCAGCTGGGGGCCTTGCGCTTTGCGGAAGGCCACTTTGTCCAGATGATGGATGCCAACATGGGCTGCTATTCTGGCGAAACCTTTAAAGTACCAGTTGCCCGGAGGCAGATGTGCCGGATCACGTGCATTCACCAATAGAGTAGAAGTTTGCAGCAGAAGTCTCTTTTGCCCGGCTGTGCCCAGGTTGTTCTGCAAGGCTTTCATCGCTCGTCAATGGTCGAGGGCGATTATGACCACCGCCTGAAGCTGCAAGCCCGGATCATCGGATTCCGTTAGCACCTGAGGGTAAGGGCCCGTTGCTTGTGAGAAAGGCGATACGGAGTTGCTTTTTGAAGCTGAGGTGAGCACATCTTCACACGGGAGCACGGACTGGTTGGCCAGATCATGGCGGCCGGGCACCTAATGACTTAGTGACTTGGTGCATATTGGTGCAAGTGATTCAAGTGCAACGCTGCCGCGAAGGACGCCGAATGGACCTTTGGGACCTTGGTGCAGCGCCTTCTGGAGTTTTTGACCGTCCGGATGCACTACGGCCATCCGGATTTCATGGATGGTTTCTGGGCAGCCAACCGAGGTTCCGTGTCCAAGGCTTCCCCGCACATCAACCTGTCGGAAGATATTTTCGCTGGATTGAACGTCAAAATACGGCATGAGCAATCATTGCACACAGACTACCTGGAATGGGAAAAAGGCCGCGAAGTTCAATTTTTGGCAGGCTCCGGCTTCTTCTGGAAGATCGCGAGCGGCAGCGTCGGCTTGCTCCGCACCCGCGATCTCCGAACGCTCTGCCAAAACGCCTCGATCATGGAGACCTTCGCGCTTTACTTCGCCACGGTGGCCTGGTGGCTTGGCACTGCATCAGCTTGCAGCTTGCATCAGCTTGCCACGTTTCTCGCACTAGCATTTTGAGCGAGGTACATCCACAATGTCGTCGTGGACATCAGCACGGAAGTCTTTGTCTTCATCTTCATTTACTTGACCTTGGCTTCGAAGTCCATCGTGGATTTGGGCGATCTCGGATCCATGCTTGCGGCCGAGTGGTTCCTAACACCCGCATTCAGTGCCATGCTTCCGGCCATCATCGGCCTGGGAATTGAGTATGGCCCGCTGTGGATGATAAAGAACTATATCTTCACAGCTCCCATGTCTATGGTATACTTCATCTTCATTAACAAAGCCATGTCCTCCTCGGTCCGTACAACCTTCGTGGCCAACACCGCAGAATACGTCAATACAGGAAGACCGCATGCAAACAAGAGCTACACACTGTTGGAAGCATTTCTGGCGCACCTCTGTTGCAGCTAGGAGAGCAAGGTCTGAAAGATAACCCAGGCAAACAAGCTAAGGTATTGGAACTCGCATTACAGACCTGCCTTGCGCATCATCTACTGCATCGTGTCAGAGCCTCAATTTTTGAGGAGCAGTCGGCATTGGCCCAGCTCTCCACATCAGAATTCCGCCAGGCTTTATCGCTCAATGAACGCGGATGGTGCTCTGCCACTGATCCTTGTGTCCTTTACCGCGGCAGCCTCGGAAGCCTCGGTCTCTGGAAATTGCGAACCTTTTCGAAACTGCATGCGAGACGACTAAGGCCTTCGTTTGGATCCTGGCCCCGATCCTTTTCCAACCGCCTACGAAAACCGTGCTGGAGCAGACCCGTGAACTGGTCAACTTCGTGGCAAAGATCCCGGCAACTCGCGAGCGTTTGACCTCCGGCAAACCAAGCTCTCTCTACGAGGTGCCGGGAAGCGTCCCTGAAGAGGGCTTCTAGCTTTGCCATTTCCGTTTTCAGGCGGGCTTCGAGCAGGAGCTGAAGCAGGCCAACCGAGGCCTTGTCCTGCCGCTCCTCTTTGGCTTCTTGCTTTGCGCTCTCTACCTCTTCATGACTTCCTCGGACATCCTGGACCAGCCTCTCGGCTCACTCGTCTCTCTCTCTCTCTCTCTCTCTCTCTCTCAGGATGTGGGCACCGCTTTGTGGGATGTTTATTCTCTTCCTCTTTCGATCGGTGCTGGCCTTCTCCGGCATCAAGTCCGCAGGCGGGAAGGGCACAGCGCTTTGGGAGATGTGGGGAGGGGGGTGGAGCCTGCGTCTCTGAGTTGAGAGGCATGATGATGCTGGCGATCCCCGCCTTGTCCCTGCCCCTTGGCCTTGGCCATGCGGCCATGTGGGAGTCGCTTTGGGCGCTCTGCTCTCTGCTCGAGGTTCGTGATCTTCTTCTCGACCTACATCGTGGAGAACAGGGACTTCGGCTCGCTGCTCGTGGCAACGCTGATTTTGATCCAGTTCTTGACGACCGTGAAGCTCTTGGTGTGGTCCTTCTTCGCGCTGGTCCTGCCGAGAGGCAGCCCCTTGGGCTATGAGCAGGTGGTTCGCTTCACCTTCGACTTCTTGTGCATCTACGAGCTCCAGTTCTTTGGAGCACCTTGTCTCGTTGAGGATCGGTCGGAGCATCGCCAACGTTACCATGTTTGAATGTGCCTCCAGCATATGAGCAGAACAGAACTTGGAAGATATTAGCACACCGCCACACCAGTATGGAAACAAGGTCGTTTTCGCGGACATCAACATCTTGAATTAACACATTGCAGTCTGATTGCTGTGATCCTTTGCCATTGTTTCGACTGGTCTTTGCCAGGGTGGCAGGGTGGTGTATACGATAGCAGGTTAGGCCAAGATGCCCCCGGACATCAGTCCAAAACAGTTCCGCAAGATGTCCTCATCTCGTAAGGTTTGAATCATTCGGGGTGTACCCTTAGTGAGCATCCTGCGGGAAAGCATGAGGTGTGCTAGGCACATGGCAGCCTCGCCTGATGCGCCGCGCGCCTTCAGCTGCAGGCTCTGGTCGTGCTCATCTTGCAGACGGTCTTTGCCGGTTTGCTATGGTGCCCGGCCGACGTCTCTTGCGACCTGCAAGCCTGTGCAATGTGCAACTAAGGTTGCTGGACAGACCTCCTCTACGACTCCGAACAGGTCTGATCCTGAACAGGCGCGGGCCAGTGTTGCTCGATTCATGCTGTGTGCCTCTCTCCTTTCGCATTGGCCCTGGACAGGCGAGTGTCCATTGGAACCATAGCCGCATTCTCCGAATTCTCCGAATGCTTGAATGCGTTGAAGCTTCGCACTTTTGACAGCCTTTCCCTTTCCGGCCTCGATTCTCGATCAGGATGTGTTCGAACAATCTTCGGTGACCCCGACAGCTGCCAGCTCAGTCTGTCACAAATCGGCCTCACCACTCATCATGCTAAAGTGTACGACGACGCAGAAGACGAGCTTGAGGCAAAGACGAGACCATCACCGTCAAGGTAGATGGATGATGCGATCGCCCTGTCGCTTGCTCGTTGATTCCACTGTTCCCAGCAGGATTTCAAAATTGCAGCCAAATTTAGACTGGGCGAACCAGCCCGCCGGAGAAACCTGAATTTTGGTTGCGGGATACCCGCTTCAACGCAAAGCAGGGCAATTCCCCGCAGAGATGTGAAACGAACATCTCGTCCGTCGATTATGAGTGCCGAGGATGTTTAAAGTTTAGAGGACTCCGAGGAGCGAGGTGCGCTTGCGAAGAATCGGCACTGATGGTCGGCAGCCTGACAGGTCTGGCCTTACAGTGCATGTACAGTACCAGACGTTTTGCTGGCTCAGTGTTGCCCACAAGTTGGCATCACCACCTTTCTGAGACATCGCATTCAATGTGCTTCAAGACGAAGTCGCGAGTCTTAAACTCCTGAAGCCCTGTAAAGGATTCATGACCGCAGAGAGATGTTCAGGCAAATTGGCGCTGTGTTGCACGAGACAAAAGCAAGCGAACACGATTGCCACCCATCATGACTCCTCATGTAAACATGTCTGTGTTTGGCCATGATTGCTTGCGACCCATCACTATGGACATGGCTGGAACCGTACTGTCCCGCTTTGCGCCAAGCTTGCACCATGGCAGTGGAGCGACGGAATTGATTCTGCAAGGCCAGGCCCGGGTGGGCCATGCACCGCAAAGAATCCTCGAAGGGCCTGGCTTATCCCCAAGCCAAGCATGGCCCATGCGATGCATCTGCGTTCCTCCCTTCGGAGTGGGAACCAGGACCGGTGTCCTTGCGAGCATTCATGCTTCAAGTGTTCAGTGCCAAGCAAGGTCGAAGGTCAGCATGCCGCAGCCCTCTGCGTGCTGGAACACTGGCAGTAGGCTTCCATACTCCTGCGGTGTCTTTGGAGGACTGGCGAAATGCTCTTCATCTTCTGGAAACCATGCAGACTCGAAGGCTTCTCGAAGAGGTGTCCATTTGTGCAGCGATGAGCATGTGCACCAGGTGCGCCCAGGGTGCGCAAATTGAGTTGCCGAGAGGGTCTCTGCCCGGGTGGCCAGGGCCAGCTACTGGGCAGCTAGCTTGGCCCTTTTCGCCGGATTGGTTTTCCACGTGGATCCGGACCCGGTCACCTTCAGCGCTGCCCTGGCTGCTTGCAGCAGCGGGTCTCAATGGACAACCGCTCCTCGTCCGGCTAGAGTTGAAGGTTTGTGCAGACAGCGACGCGCACAGAGCAAGGCCATGTTGCTGCTGAATGAGATGACAGAGATCGCCGTGCAAGCTGATGCCATCTGCTTCAACTCTGCAGCTTGGAACGGCACTGGCATATCGTAACATTGCTCGTTTTTGAAGGCTAAAGGCCGATGGAGGAATCGCTAAGGCCATCAGTGCTTGTGAGACTGTGTGGCAAGTTGCACTATGGCTGCTGCACAGCATGACCATGACTGAAGCCATCTGACGCGTTTGTGCGGTCTCGGTTTCTGTCCTACGGGCAGGGAAGGATTTAGTACTGTTGCATGAAGGGGTCGTGCAATTGGAAATCGAAGTCTTCCCACAAGGTGAGGCCCAATTGCATCACCTTCAGTGCCTGCATCAACGCGTGCCCGTGGACGACTGCCATGCACCTGCTCGATCAAATGCAGAGCAACAGCATCCAACCTAACACCGTCACACTCAACACTGTGCGCTGCCTATATTAGTTGAGGTGTGCGGACCATCGCGGCCTGTGTACAAGTTGGATTGTTCAGTCAACAAAGGTCATGAAGGCCTGCGGATCACTGCAGTGGCAGATTGTCTTAGAAGTCATGGCGCTGTTTCCTGAGATGGCGCTTCGCTCAGAAACTTGGCTACATCCAGCAGAGAGCTAAGATCTTTGCTGGAGTGGGACTAGTATGGGGGCACACCAGGCAGAGCAGGACTGCGGGTGTGCTGTCAACAAAAAACCCCAAAAAGGAAGAGACGAGAGGGAGAGAGAGTAGTTCTTGCACTTCGGTCCCAGGCCAGCCAAGGTTCCGGCCTCTTGCAAGGGTCAGGGCGCGAGCTGTACGGCTCGAGATGGACAAAGACACACCAGCAAGCCCCGCCGACAAAGCGAAGGAAATCCACACCCAACACCTCTCCCGTACCTGCTGTAGGCAGTGCTCGACAAAGGCCTACTTGTTCGCGTTTTGTGCGCAGGAGCAGTGCAGGGTTGTAGGGGGACCTCTCTCGAGGGAGCTTTAGCCGACACACAGCGCGTGGGACCATATCAAATTGGGCACCAGAGTGCCCACTGCCAGTAATGACTTTTCAATAAGGGCCCCTGAGCCATTGACAATCGTAGCGCTGTGAGCAACTGCGTTTTCCGGCCCGAGGACGTGGTCAGTTACAGCTCTGCCGCCCGGCTGCAATGCACGAGACCTGCGAAGCTGCGCTCAAGGGTGCGCGATCAAGGCCCCAAAGGTGAACTCTCTAAAGCTCGAAGGCGTTCTGAGAAGTGAATATATACGTAACAGCAATACAGAAGTCTGTCGCTAAAAGCCGCAGGTCATCTGCGAGCCCGTCCCGGGCTTGAGTGCCTAACATGTCGAGACTTCGAAGGCTTGCCTATCCCATCTGCGATCAGAGCATGTGCTTCAGTTCGATGATCCAAGGCCATCAGCGCCTGTGAGAAGGGACA